TCTAGAAAGCTGCATTGCAACATGCATGCAACGTCCAAGCTTTCGAACGCGACGACGGTGACGCAATTGCCTCGCTTCGAGGCTTCGATTTCAAAACATTCGGAGCGAGCGAGAAACGTGGTGAAAAAAAAACTCGAAACACGGAAACTTTGGGGTATGTAAGGCGTATGTAACGCGGAGAAGAGATCAGCCGCCCAATAAAAGGGCCGTTTAAAGCAGAGTGCGATCTGGTATTCTCGGTACGTAGGCTTTGATCGGCAAAAGTTCGAGATACGTGACGTTTGGGAGCATCGATGGGCCCGTCTCGTCTTCAGCAGATATATTCAGGCAGAGGGAAAGAGAGAAGGATCGGTAAGTATAGGTGTCGGTATAGTTGGCTAGTCGCGTACAAGGGGGGAACAACCACTCCAATGGTTAGGGAAGCAGCCAGTGGCGACGACTCGAGGGGTAACTAGCTAGGTGTACGGGGACCACCAGCCAGAGAAAGCCCCTCCGGATACTGCGAAACTTTAAATCACCGAGCGTACGTGTACACAGGGGTGCGCGTGTATATATCTCTACCTGTTGCACGTTCGTCACTCACTCACCTTGATTGTCGAAGCCATGTCGCGGATTTCCTCTGCAATATCTACTAGTTTCCTCCTATTCCTCTTCCTCCTGCTGCAACGACGCGACGCGAAGCGAAGAATCGGCAAAAAGTAGCTGTTGCGTGTATCGAAGTAGCAGCCGATGATGCTCTCGCAGCAAAATCTCGCAACGCACTGGCCTCCCAAGCTACCGTCCGTCGCCTTTCCTCCCCTTCCTCTCCGGATAAATACGAAAGTGTGTGTAGTGGCCGACGACGACGACGACGTGATGATATATAACGGATCTCCGCGGACACTTCTCTGTGTGTTATATCAAGGTAGGAGGAGGTGGAGCTGAGACGTGCGTGAGTATGCGCCGTACAAGTCTCGCACTTTTCTCCCCTTGATTCTCGCTCTTGCACTTGGCTCGTTAAACGAGCCTTCCGAGCTGTTGCGCTTTCTTTGCTCGGCCGCTCGAGTCGCGCCACTTCGCACGCCACTTTCTTCCCAAACGTTTAACCTCCTTTTCCACGCCTCCTCCTCTCCCTTGCACTTTGCTCGTCCCCCGTGGTGTTCATTTTTCTTTTCTTCTCTTTCCTTGTTTCTTTTCTGTTCGCCTCCACCTCTAGAGTACAAAGTGTTTCTTCTATCTGGTCTCGGCGATCTATTAGCACGTGCCTCTCCCGTCCCGTGTTTTTTTTTTTTTTTTTTTTTTTTTTTTTTTTTTTTTTTTTTTTT